ATACACCAGAGAATTGCACAGTAACACTAAATCAACTAACATTAAATCAGCCATATTTTCTCACTACATTTTAGGCCTTCATACCCTCAGGTGTACATAAACTGCAGGTTATACACTTCAGTAAAATACAAAAATGTGAAATTATTGGTTATCGTATTGGTTATCAGCCATGAGAAGCAGGTAATTAAAGGTTATTGCTAACGGTTGAGAAAAATCCATACTGATGCATCCCTGCTTTTAATGTAAGTATAGAAAAGCTTGTAGGTTTGTCAACTGATACTGCTTGTGTGTCAGACACTATAAATAGTCATGATTTATCAATTCTTTCTCTTTCTGGTAAACCCTCAAATGTCAAATCCTGTGTTTTGTCTCTTTATTCCACAACAACAGACCGCTGCTTCTGTGGACAGTCACTGAATGCAGGACAAAGTTGGTGTGGATTTAGAACTACTATCTGGCAGCGATAGTTACACTAACAATCACATTGCGCGGCAAAATATGACATTGTCCATGACATAACAAAATTCTCCGTGTGCATGACTTGAATGAAAAGTGACGTGTGACACCCTTTTCTGTCTGACACACTTAAAAAGTTTTGTGTGCCCATGTATAAATTAGAGTTAATAATTTATAAGGAAAAACTGCAAACATTTGATGGTTGCAACTTCTCTGATAAGAGGATTGATGCTTGTTGTTCTCATGACAAAGTAGTAAACTGAATATCTTTGAATTTTAGACTGTTGGTTGGAGAGAACAAGATATTTGATGAAATCACCAGCATTTTTCACTATCTGGTTCTATAGTCACATTTTATAGATCAAAAAATACAGCTTGCAGATTAAAAAATTATGAAAGTCAATAATGAAAATCAAGCATATGGCCCTACGCGCCCCATCAGTGCAATGGAGCAAATAACACATCTTGAATTTTTAGGGGTTTTCCAAGAAGTAAACTATTCTCCACAAGATTGAATGAAATTAAAACCAAAAATGTGTGAATTTTTTGTGTAATCTAGTTTGTCATTAATTCCAACTACAAAAAAGTGACAGTGTAAGTCGTGCTGCACAACTAGTGATAAAATGTAACTTTTACATGTAACAGTTGTGTCCAAAGCGCTGAAGTTACATCATTGTTTTAATAATTCTAGAATGTCCACTGTGCGTGAGATTAGTGTCAATGTTGATCATAGTGATGGCAAAATGTGTTGTAATATAAGTTGTCAAATGACCAAGTTATCAAATAAAACCAAAAAAAGACTATGGCTGTAGTTAGAGGGAGCCAACTGCACAATAACATTGTCCCCAGAGCCATGCTTCACAGTGTGTTTCCCTCCAGACACCAGAGCCTATAGCAGCAGTCAGGTGCTCTGTGAGTCACAGTCCCAGCCCAGGAGCCAAGCTCACTACAACCATAACAACTAACAGTGTACTGCTAACACACAATGGCTTGTCATACCATATGCCAGACTTGTCGTTGTAGGAGGCTACATTAGCTGGAGAGAGGATATCTGGTGTCATCAGCTGAGGAAGAATAATAGATCATCCATTTTCTTCCAGTACTTACTCTCAGAGCCACAATGTCATAAGGTACATGACTGTCATTTTCTTATCACCATAAAGGTTTATAAGGTAGTGAAGCAGGGTTTGCCTGTACTGCTTGTGTGTTTCTGGTTGTACTGTTTGTATTTATTGTCACACATCCACACTGGAATATGACTGACAGAACTGCTGGACACTGCTCCTCCCAATTTTTACCATGTAGACTCTGACTTTTGTTTTTTGACATTGACTAATGTACAGTGTGATTGATCAGTCAGTCAAGTCAAGTTTATTTATATACCACATTTCATGCAACAAGCGCAGACTCAATGTACTTAAAAACAGAAACAAAGGTACATTGTACATGACAATGTACATTATGATAAGAGTGACTAACATTTATAAAAACACACAATATGTAATCAAAGGTGTTGGTTAAACAAGATAAGAGGATATCTTTCTTATCACGGTTAAAAACAGGAGATAATAACAATAATAATACTAATTCAGTAAACCTAAATAAAGGCTTGTGAGAAAAGATATGAATTAAGTTTGCTTTTAAAAGAAGACACTGAAGTAGCAAACCGTAGTTCAATTGGCAACGAATTCCAGAGAGTGGGACCATAATGACTGAAGACACCAAAACCTGAATTGGAGTTGATTCTGGGTATTGTGAGGAGACCTTTGTTTGATGATCTAAGGGATCTCTCTGGTACGTACTCAGTGAGCATGTCAGAAATGTAGGAGGGAGCTAACCGATTAAAACATTTATAAACAATAAGAAGAACTTTAAAATCAATTCTTTGTTTTACTGGGAGCCAGTGTAGTGATGAGAAAATCGGGGTAATATGGTCAGACCTTTTGATTTTTGTTAGTACCCTAGCAGCTGCATTCTGAATAAGCTGGAGTTTGTTTAATGTTTGTTTTGGCAGTCCAGCAAAGAGGGCATTGCAGTAGTCCAGTCTACTAGAAATAAAAGCATGAACCAGCTTCTCAGAATCTGATTGGGATAAAAAAACATCTAACTTTAGCAATATTTCTCAGGTGATAAAATGCTGTCTTAGATATATTAAAGATGTGCTTGTGGAAGTTGAGGTGACCAGTCACCTCAAGTGAAGTGTTAAATGCTATGTATGTATTTATCCTTGTATTTTCCCTTTTTTCCACTTTTGGAATGTGCAGTGTCTCCTACAGTGTTGTTTTTGTTAATGTGACAGCATCTGCCATGTCTACTGTAATATGGCTTGGTATGGGTACTCAATATCTCTAAAGTATCAACCTAGTGTTGCACGGTATACTGGTACTAAAATAGTACCGCGGTACTAGAGTATTCCAAACGGTACTATACTGCATTTGGAAAATACCGGTACTTTTTAAATTGATTCAATTCATTAATTTATTTAATTCATTTATGCACACAAACGCCTTCCTTGTTCCTACTGGAGCACAGATTGCGCAAGTGGTGTGTATGACAACACCTGTATCAACATTCGCAGCTGGCACACGTGAAAAAAGGCAAGAGAATGTCTGCCTCGCAAAGGGAGACATCACGAGACAACACCAACTTGGTGAAACATTTGAGTTATCAAACCGTGAAGTCCGTACCGAGGTACTTACCGAACCATGATTTTTTTTTTGGTACCGTTACACCCTTACTATTTATTGTTCTAAAGGTTTGTATCCAAAAGGGCTTTTCCTTAGGAAAAAGTACCGAAAAGTATCGAAATTCATATTGGTATCGGTACCGAAACAAAGATTTTGGTATTGTGACAACACTATATCAACCAAAATGACCCAGTATCAAGTCGCACTGAAACCTCTCTGGTCAAAGGATACAACTGTCCTTCGATTTACAGTAATGTGACAACGTGTGATTGGCCCACTGTTGCAGCAGCTACAACCCATACAGTCTGTGGTGTGGTGAAGTCGAGCATGGTTTATTTGACAGAGTTGGCAGTTTAGCGTGCCAAGATGCCACTAAAATGTTCGAAATTATGGCATTACTACATTCTTATGGCCTCTGGGCCATTTTATGCAACTGAATGCTTCCATTCACATGATGGGTGTCATTTTTCTTAAAAAATTGGATGCCACGAGTTAAAAAAAAAAAAAAAGGCTTGCTACATCTTTTTATTGTTGATAGGAAACTATCCCATCACCTCCTTACCCTAACCTTCCCGTGTAATCAATCAACCATTTATTTTCTTTTTAGATGTACTGTATGTAGTAATTAGTAATTAGTGGCTAGTTACTAAAATGTTCAGGCAAAGGGTACTTGCTGTAGCTATGGTTGAGGGTGAGAGGTTGTCAGCAAATAGTTTGTTAGGCACAGGGAAACTGAGATCTGTGTAAGCACATGAGACCCTAAAAAAGAGCGTGGATTTGGGGGGGTGGCCATTTCAAGTACTGCACTTATGTGCTTCCACACCTGCTTTTTTCTATTGAGATCGTGGTAACCGCGGTTTGTAAAGTCGTATAGCTCTGGGTATGCAGCAGCTGCTACCACCAGTTTCTCCTCCATTGGCCCGTCTCTCAAATAATCCGACTGGACAGTGGGAAAAAAGTGGAGATGATGTGGGGGCTTTTCCACTCTTGTTGAGTTGAAGATTTTTCAGCTCAAGACATTCAGAGTGCTCTGGCAAACATCAGGGCCTCTGGAAATATTACATTGATATATTTCTTCTCGTCTCAGATCACTATATAATTGTAGCTGTTTTGTTGTTTGCCTTTACCCACTTAGTCATGACATCCATATTACTGATGATTATCTATCAAAAATCTCAAATCTTGTGTATATATTTTGTGAAAACACCAAAAGTCAACCCTATGGTATCATCACAATATTGATATTAAGGTATTTTGGTAGTGTCTAGTGTCAGATAACGTGTCTTTAAGCAGTCAGACGAGGTCAGTGTTACTCCACTCTTTTCTGCAGCCTCATTTGGGGGTAGACTAGCTGCTGAGTCCTCAGATTATTTTAGGTTTGTGAGGCAGCTGCTTTTTACAAAGTCAGCAAACATCCTTTTCTCTGTTGATCATTTAGCCATCTATGGTGTAGAACCCTAATATACTTCCACACTCTGCCTCTCAGACGCTTCAGTGTTGTAATTATCTGACCAGCACAGCTTTGCTCGCTAGCCTTCTTCTTCATTTTTATTGATCACCTGAGTTTACTGATAGGTCAATAGGGCACACAGTAGGTCAAGCTGATCATGAATTTTAAGAGCTTCCATTTGGACCACAAGGAATACTTCTTCAAGCACTCTGTTGCGCTTAGAGACTAAACATTTCGCTTCAGACAAAAATGTGACAACCCTAAAGCAAAATTTGAATATTTCCCCTAGTCCTGTAAGACTTAAACCACTGCATGATGAAAGTATTAAAAAAACCTTGGTTGTGAAAGGGCTATGGATACATTTCATAAGATATTTAATCTGAACACATACATGTTGCTTCTTTTAGAAGATGTCAAGTGAGAGCAGACAATGCCTGCCATGAGTCAAAGTAGTCCTTGCCTGTGGACTCAGCTCCCTCAGAGCAGTCAGTCCCCATGTGACCGCTACAAGCACGCCTGCTGCAGCTATGATGGAAATGTCTACATCCTGGGAGGAAGGGACAACGGCTGTCTGAGGGACTTCTGGAAGTACAGCGTGGGTAAGGGCTTGATACACAACTATTGTTGAGTTTACTTTAGTGCTAATAAGTAGGATTTTTACCACTGCATGAAAGAAATGATTTGTTGAAATCAATGTGACAACGTGAAGGTCGTATTCGCATTATTATTAAAGTATTTCATATGATGCATGATATACTACAGAGATAACTGCCCTGTATGATATGCTCTTCTAAAAGCCAGAAAAGACAACAAAAGAAAGGGGAGCTGTGTTGCATGATTCCGGCTAATCCAATGTATAATTGTGTGTAATACTTTAGTTTGTAATGAGTGGACAGAGTTGAACTGCACCAGTGAAGCTGCACCAGAAGAACTAGAAGAACATTCTATGGTGGCTCATGAGGTACACACTCATCAAGATGAGTTGATGAAAAATTTCTTTTGAAATGGTATAAAAAAAAAGTTTCATGTTGCTTCTGTCTCTGCTAATATCACACTGCTTGGTGTGTCAGTCTGTCAAGAATCTAACTGCTCTGATCTTTCCAGGGCTTCCTCTACGTGTTTGGAGGCATGCTGGATTCTGCATACACAAAGTGGAGACATCCCCTCTGGATATTTGACATTGGTGAGTTTTACTGTAAAGGTGCATGCATGATACAACTTGCATTGACTATTGCCTGCAAATGTTAAGGCTTGAGAGACAAACTTGTTGTTGCATGTCAGTTCCAGTTCCACGTCTCCAAGGCCCAGGGAAAACAGTCAGTACTATAGATAAACTAGTGTATCCCCAGTATGCATTTAATAATCAGAAGTGTTGCTGCTATATAAAAATCTCCCTGGACAAGCAGGCAGAGTTGGGGACAAGGAAGGATTAAATAAAGATTCGATCAATTGAACACCCACAGACAATGGTGCTCTGACAAATCGTCTACCAATTATAAATGGCAGATATTCATTTGAAATAGTTTTAGAGCTGATCCGAAGAGCTGATCAGATAATGCAAAACAATATATACTGCTAAAAAGCTTCACTCGTCTGACAGTTCTTACAAACTGTAGCTCATACTGAACGTTCACTGTTACATTCATAGTTTACCGATAACCTTACTTCCAGCTCACCTGCCTGTCCCGAGTGCAGACACACTGGATGTGTCAAAAATCATTCACTCACTCACTACTCCCCACTCACTATATAGGGAGTTCTATGTAGAGGACCTTTGTTGTGTTGAAGTTTGTTTTACCAGTCAGTCATGTAACTACTTGTGAATTTAATGTATAACGTTATGCATTACGCCTTTACGGCACAAATCAGAACTAGAAGCGACCTAGCTTGCGACCATAGCTAGCATTATTTGCTCTACTCTGTACAGTAACTTTTAAGCACTAAAGAAGATCAGTTGCCGATTTATTTTTATGTCCTGGGGAAGCAGACTACTCATTAAATTGACAGTTTATTACATGGCAAAGAAACTGGTAAAACAAACTTAAACATGTACAAACATGTTCAGCAGGTTGTAATCGAGTTGCTCTCTCTGTGTCTGTCCCATACAGTCCATCCGTCCCTTTGGCACAATGCATGATGGGATATATTGCTTGACCATTGGTTGTACAGTACTTTTCACGGTGCATTGTTGGATACTTTGAGTCCACTAAGGTTATAATAATTCCCACTATACGTTCAGACAGCATTACATAATGGCAAACTTACTATATGTTAGACTACATAGTGAGTAGTGAGTGATTTCAGACACAGCCACCATCTTTCTCTCTTCACTTGCCACACACACACCACACTGAATGCCACTGCACATGCTGGGGCACACTGTGTTTTTTTTTTACATTTAGCTTGATTTTGTCCTGTATTTTGCCCACACAACATGACTTCTTTATGTACACCAGCTCTTCCTCTTCTGCATTTTTTTCAGGATTTATGTCATAGTTAATTTTTTCTGTGACTGGAAACACAGGGTTGATTAGGGGAGGCCGAGGGCAGTTTAAACAATTTGGGGTTTTGATGGAAGAAAAAAAAACAAAAAACACGCGTGTGTGTGTGTGTGTGTGTGTGTGTGTGTGTGTGTGTGTGTGTGTGTCGTAGACTGTAGATAAAGGTTTGTTTTTAAAGCAATCTTGCTTACCGCCACATTTATACATTTTTAATCACCTGTAGTTACTGCCTGTCCAGCTCAGCATTTATAGCAAGATATTTTAATCATATTTCAATTTTGGTGCAGAACAGTGCCACCGGAGGGCAGTACCAATATATGGTAGATAATGATTCAATATTATGGTTACAAAATCATGGACCTTGTATATGTAGCAGTTGTGTACAGCAGTTTAAATGGGAATGCTCACATCTGGGAGTTTATAGTATAGTCATCTATTGTTCTGTATATTGAAGGGACAGAGGTACGTCAAAGATTTTTTTTTTTTTCACACCAAGTATGATTTTAAATAAAGTAATGCAAACCATTTGTTCCTTTAGTAACTTAGGACATTAAGGTTCCCTTCCTTCATCTCAATCAGCTGTCTGTATGACATTAACTTACCATCAATTTTTGGTATGTTATTTAGCTTCTTTTTTTACTTAAACTCTGCTTTATTTTCATTTTCCTTTGTTGTGTGTCTTTCAGCAAAGCAGAAATGGGTGCACTGCCAGGGAAAGATGAGCTCCCCTCAGGTACATAGCATCTTTCATAACATGATGATCTGAAGAAGTAACAGATAATATGAGACCACTCTGGTCTCCTCTTGCCAAGTGTCCTTGTCAGTGTTCTTACTGACAGCAACTGTAAAGAATTAGACTCTGTTTAAATTGATAATACACAACAGTTAATAATAATGACATGTTTGAGCTTGTAGTCATAAGACTCTACAGCACATACAGAAAACTGAATTTAGGGGTTAACAAAAGAAACGCTTGCTATCAGGTGCAGTAAGTCTTACTGATTGTTAGCTTGTATTACATTTTAGCAGCACTTTTTTTATCAGTAGCAGAGCAACTGCCTTGTCATCAGAAGTGACAAGTAAAACTCAAACATCAGAAAAAAAGGCATCACAGCACTGAACAAAAATCAAGCAACACTCATTTCACCAAATAATGCTTTCATTTTTATCTTCACAAACTTAGGAGAGATGTTTGTTTGACAAAGACCTTAAATATTCTCAATACATGATGTAAAACATCAGTGATGTACATTTTTACAAAGACATAAACCTTTCAGGGCAAGTTTGTTCAGATTAAAATCGATTTTTCACAGTGATAGATGCTGCATTTATGAACATGCACTTAAGTCATATCATTTGACTCAAAGAGAAACTTGAGCTCTGAGGACGTCCAAAGTTTCTGAAAAGGAAAATTTTGGAGGCAATTCTAGTGGGTTGTCTTGAACACAGCATGATCCGATTAGGTGTATGCTGACAGCCTCCAAATTAAGACTCTCATCCCATCTGGAACCTTGAAAGCTCCTTGGAACCTACACAAGAGAAATAGAGATTTATTAAAAGAATACAATATGAAAATCAACAGCGATGGTGTTTTAAGTTGCTAGGGATTATAGACACCTTTGGTTTGCCAGTAAATATCCTGCCTGTGTTTATATGTTTAGACCCAAATGCCAACCAACAGAAAAGGACACAGTGCTGTGGTGGTTGGCTCTGCCATGTTGGTGTATGGGGGTTTCATAGACATGAAAGGATCCTCACAGGACTTTTGGAGTTTGGATTTTGGTGAGATAAAGTTGTTTTTATTCCCATATAAAAAAAAGCACACATTATATTGTTGTTATATGTATTTATTGTATTATTCATGTTATTAGCCATCTGAGCAGCGTAATGTTAACTTCAGAATAAAATTAGCCTTTGACAAAGCAGGATCAGTTGTACAAATCATGAGTGGGTATTATGTAACATCATTTCTGCGAAAACTGCCCAGCAGTTGTCAGCACACAGCAGGTGAGAGATACAGAAGGCTGGATGTTTATTATTATCATGATAGTTACGTGTTGCAACTAATGTTTTTATTGCCTGTGAACACACAGTGTGAGCTCCACTATGTGCATTAATTGTAGATACTTGTGTGTTTTAATGTGCATGACAGATACTATGGCTTGGTCCCTGCTAAATGGTTCTCAGCAGGGCTCATCGGGCCCAGGTCCGAGACACAGTCACTCAGCCATTGCCAACCACAGCTGCATGTACCTGTTTGGGGGCTTGAAAGGTTTGCGGGAGCAGAGAGACTTCTGGAAGTGGAATTCCATCAGCCACATGTGGAGCTCTCTCAGAAACAAGTGAGAAGTGCCTTCATCTGTCAGCTTGTCCTTTTAGGTGTTATCTTGTGTCCACAACTAAATACAGTATTAATATTGCAAAAGAAACCTAAAATGCCTGCTAGATCATGGTCCAAGATTATTCCTCGACCTTTACCGTGTTGAATATAATGGAAAAACCCCACCTTGCTCTATTACATGACAAAGTCAAAGTCCTTTGTTTACAGGAAGTTAGGAGCTATAACATTCCTCTTTCAGTCTGATAATGTGAATGCTTAAAGAGGACAGACAGACCACCATGCTCATCTATCACATATAAACTTTTGAGTCCTGTCAGTCTGAACAGTGAACACTCCTGACATGACTTTAAAGTTATATCTAATCTATGATACAGAGTACTAAGGTGCAGTGTGAAGGGTAGGGTGTGAACAGCTGCAGTGTCCTAACATATGTCACTGCGGGTCAGCACATTATAACTTGTCAGTGTTGATGCATCAGATCCAGGGTTGGAGATTAACTTTTTGTCCACCTGCCACTGTGGCTGGTGGAATCCAGCCTACTAACCAATTACCATGTTTTTTTTGGCTTTTGTCAAATTTTATTCCGGTGTATTTACAAGATTGGCTCCGCCTGCCAGAACGGCTTGGGGGCCTGCGACTGCCTGTGACGTCACACATCTGCCTCACTACAGCAACTCCAACCGGACAAAATACATTGCGCCCAATTTGCACGATAGATAGATAGATAGTAGCCCCTTTTACACTGCCAGATTTTCAGTGAATGTTGGGCCCTTTTGCCGGCAAGTTGCGAGCATTTAGACACACACACAGTCGGATTGGCGAGTTGATCCGAGGTGCCTAATTTTCTGCCTCGTAGGGTAGTCATATTGGTGGAACCTTTTTGGTTTAAACAGAACGAGGCAGCCTAGGATAAACAGGAAACAGCTGATATCAGGAATGAGCAGCTAGTAGCAAGAGGGAAACACAAACCTGACAGACGCTGTAAAGATGAGCAACTGGAGAGACAAAGAATTGCGTGCCCTCCTTGCCCTCGCAAATAAAGAGGCCATTAACCTGCAGATGACGGGGATGGTGAAGGACGGGCAAACTTATGAGAGAATCGCTGAAGGACTGACCAGCTGCGGCTTCCCTCGGAGTCCGTCACTGTTTACGTCACACACTGAGCTACACGTTTTGTTAATTGCTCATGCCACCCATTGCCCTGAAAAAGGCACATTCTGTATGAACAAAAGTAGGCAGGCGGCATTTTGCTGCACTCCCTGATTTTGTTTTTATACTGCCAATGCTGAAGGAAGGCTGATTGGGCTTTCCTGCAAAATTGCACAATTCCTGTCTAAAAAGGGCTACAGTCTATGATACAGACAGATAAGCCCCTATGACACTGCCAGATTTTCGGCAAATGTTGGGCCGTTTTGCGTTTAAACAGAACGAGGCGGCCTTCCACAACAGGAGGGGCTGTTGACGACTTGTGGGAGGAGATGTTGATGATGCCGCACGTGCGACCCACTGGTGGTGGATAAACAGGAAACAGCTGATAGCAGGAATGAGCGGCTAGTAGCAAGAGGGATATGCAAGCCTGACAAACACTGTAAAGATGAGCAACTGGGGAGACAAGGAATTGCACGGCCTCCTTGTCCTTGCAAACGAAGAGGCCATTAACCGTCAAGTGATGAGGACGGGGAAGGACGGGCCAACTTAGGCGAGAATCGCCGAAGGACTGACCAGCCACGGCTTCCCTCCCATATCACTGTTGACGTCACACGCTGAGCTACACGTTTTGTTACTTGATCATGCCCTTGCTCATTGTGTGACGTCACAGGCAATCGCAGGCCCCCAAGCCGTTCTGGCAGGCCGAGCCGATCTTGTACCTACACCGGCATTGTCACAGCTTCTCCTTTCTATGTGATGCTGCTGATGTGCATTGCACCTTCACATAATAGTTTGTAATGCTTTCCTGTAACTACATTATTTTTATGCCAGTAATAGCCATGGCCCGAGGCATTATGTTTTCGGGTTGTCCGTCCCTTTGCCTGTCTGTCTGCTTGTCCCATTCTTGTGAAAGTGATATCCCAAGAACACCATGAAGGGACTTCTTCAAATTTAGCACAGACGTTTAACTGAGTAGATTTTGGTGGTCATAGGTCAAAGGTCAAGGTCACTGTTACCTCTTGTCTCTCATTCTTGCGGATGTGATATCTCAAGAACATCTTGAGGGAATTTCTCAAATTTGGCACAAACGTCCACTTGCACTCAAAAACGAACTGATTAGATTTCTGTTGTGAGCTTGCACACTTCTCATTCTTGTGAATGCCTCAAGAAGGCCTAGAGGGAGTTTCCTCAAAGGTGGCGTCCACTTGGAATCAGGAATGAACTGATTATAATTTGGTGGTCAAAGGTCAACGTCACAGTGACCTTGCAAAACACATTTTTGGCCATAACTCAAAAATGTATACAGAAATTATGACAAAATATCACAAAAATGTCTAACAGGATAAAATGATGAAGTGATGACATTTTATATCCAAAAGGTCAAAGGTCAGCTTCATTGTGACATCATAATGTTCTGCAAAAACTCTTTTCTGGCCATCACTCAAGATCATACCTGAAGAACAGAAGGGGAGACATTTGGTCAAATACTGAATTGGTCACACTAATCTTGAAACTGTGCTGACTGTATAGATCCTTGGGTTGAAGACGTTTATGAAGCATCCATGTTGTCACACATATGGATGTAGACTGCAATTGCAACTTGACTGGTCCATAGAGGCATAAAACTGCATGGCATAAATTCTAGTTATCCCATAAACATTTACACTGGTATCATCATAAATAATATGGCAAGTCACTAAAGTTAATTTGATTTATGCTCAGAATCAGCTGTCCATGCCAGCTAATTTCACAAGCAGTTTGTTGAAGTGTTTGATCAGGCCACGCCAACATCTAACTGCTGGCAGAAGAACTTGATCCTGTTAGGATAATAATGAGAATGTCTCAACACCTGCTGAACAGCCAAGGATCAGTTTTCAACTAGCTGTGCCTTCATAGGTTGACATGAGGAGACTGCATAGTAGAGGAAATGCTTATTGTGATACGGTATGTATATAGTAAAAAATAAAGCAGAACCAAGGTATTTAGTAATGGGATTCACTTCCTTGTCTTTCCAATTAAGAAAGAATAATGACAGTAGTTTATAATAAGGATGCAAATTATATACTTAAGTAATACTTAATTGATGTATTACAAATTCCTGTTGCTCCCTATTAGCAAGTGATCAAGTCACATTAATTAAGGAATGCCAATTCACTGTAACTTATACATTAATTAATATGTGACTAATATAACTGGATTCCAGTTACATAAAGGTTCATTTCAGACCCATGCATTTGCTCCATCTGCCTGAAAGCAGAACAGTAGCTGTTCTCATAAAAATGTGAAGCTGTTTTTCACAGCATTCGCTGTATGTGTTTAGTACAATGTGAGGATTTCCACCCCATAACTGTCACAGCTGGAGGTTGCATTCACAAAAAGACCTATGCACACAATAGACATTGTTTTGTGTGTTCCTTTCTGCTAAAACCACCTGTGGTTGTTTTCCTCAGGTCCGGCCCATCCAGACTGGTGGGCCACTCAGCTGTGGCCTACAAGGACAGTATGCTTCTTTTTGGGGGAGGTGAGAGCCAGAATTCTCCAAAGAACTGTCTGTGGAGGTACAACTTCACCACCCAGACCTGGGTGCAGGTCGCCACACTCCCAGGCTCAAACCCCCCAGACAAGATTTACCACTGCTGCACCGGGCTGGGCCCCAGCTACAACTCCCACACCAGCAGCCCCTGCTCCAGTTCAGGACTCGAACCCAGGCTGCTGGATGGTAAACTAAGGCCCTTCAAGAACAAGTGCTTCCCTGCCCCGCTCATGTTTCTGGGATCAGAGGGAGCTATAGAGCTGGAGACGTTCAGCCCGGACAAATGCTACGGGAGCAAAACACTCAAACAGTCTTCAGAACTGGACAACAGCACAGAGGGCTTGATGGGGAAAGATGCAAGGCGGATCGGAAACTGTCTGACCTTTGAAAACAAGGCTTTCAAGAAACAGTGGAGCTGCACAGAAGAGGACCTTCTGGATGAGGAGGATGAAGATGTAGCCCAGCATCTGCCTGATCTGCTGCTGTTACTGGGGGGGAGACCTTTCACCACACACAGTCCTATCTCCATATGGCAGATGACTCTGACTGACTCCTAGCAGCCTGTGGAGAACACATTTTGTAAACGTTTTTTTCTGTATGAGAAATGTGAACAAAAACAGTGTTATATTATCATTTGACCTTTATTAAATCTTATATGTTTAAAGGGATAACTGAGGTTCTGTGAATAAGAAAATAACTTACATGTTTTTATTATGCTGTTGCTTTTTTAGTTTTAATGTTTAATAATATCTAATCAATACTGTAACTGTGAAAATGATGGAGCATGCACATGAACAAAATCAGGAATACCAATTCAAACCCCAGACCTCCCTACAACACAATATAGTCCCTTATATTAACTGTCCTGTTGTGACAGTTTGGTCTGAGTTTGTACTACAGTATCAGTCTGTGACATAATTGAGCCCCACAGGCTGTGCACGACACATTGCACAGTTGCCTTCACTTACTGCCGACATGGAGCCGATAGTAATACTTGTCATACAGTCTGAATTACACACGATGGCACCAGAGCTCAGCATTGTCTTAATGCCTGAGCTATAACTGAAGGAATAAGTCTCAGTTATCAGTGGTTCCCAACCTTTTCTCTGAAGAAACTCCTTTTCTATCACTGAATAAGCTGATGATCCCTGAATATTATTTTATGGATATTTCATATTATATTTAATGCATGGCAATAACAGTACAGAACTGGTAAACTGCAAAGTGAACGCAACAACTGCAGGAAGTTTGTGTAAAACAAGTGATTTGGATACATTTTGAGCAGATTATTCCCTGTGAATATTGCATCAGAGTTGAGTTTTCCTGATATTCTTAGGAGTTTTTTTGGTATGATTCTCTGTCTGTATCATGTTTTTTTTTTTTTTTTTTTTTTAAATAATCATACACACAAATTCATACAAATTCAGTGTTTTTATGTCTCTGGCTTGTGATAGCCGTGGCCAGAGGCATTATGTTTTTGGGTTGTCCATCAGTCCATCCGTCCCATCCTTGTGAACACAATATCTCAAGAATGCCTCAGGGGAATTTCTTCTAATTTAGCACAAATATCCACTTGGACTAACAATGAACTCCTTATTGGTGGTCAAGGGTGGTCAAAGGTCAAGGTCGCTGTGACCTTGCATCCACTGCGTTCTTGTGAACGCAATATCTCAAGATCACCTTGAGGGAATTTCTTCAAATTTGGCACATTCACTTGGACTCTACAGTGAACTGATTGGATTTTGGTGGTCAAGGTCAATGTGACCTTGCAAAGTGTCTCCTTCTTGTAAATATGATATCTCAGGAAAACTCTAAGGGAATTTCATAAAATATGACACAAACATCCACCTGGACTGAAGAATAAACTGATAAGAATTTTGTGGTTGAAGGTCAAAGGTCAAGGTCACTGTGACCTCACAAAATGTGTTTTTGGCCATAACTTAAGAATTCATATGCTAATTATTAATATCTAATAGCATAAAATAATAAAGTAAGGACATTTTATATCCTAAAGGTCAAAGACATTTCACAGACATGGATGTGAACTGCAAGAGAAACTCTACTGGTGAGCAGTCATATAACCACGGGGCAGTAATTCTAGTCTTCTTCCTGATGTTTTGCCATTGCTCTCTTAGCTCTTTTGTTGTTAGGCTGTTAAGCAGCTCTGCCCTTATCTTGTGAGATTTTTTAAAACTTTATATCTTGAAAAATAATCTAAACTTTAAAATAATTTCATGTAATTTTCTCTACAGAGATGAATGAAATGCAGAGATATAGGCCCACTAAATAATTTAAAAGAAAACAAATTCTTGCACCCCTTAAAATCAAAAAGGCCCCGTAACCCTCTGTCAGATTTTGGTGACCCCCAGGTTGGAACCCAATGGTCTAATAATAACTAGTCAATTTACAGATAATCTCTGGTTTTTATATGTGCTTCTGAATAGAAATCGGATTTCTTTAAACTGGGAGTGTCTGTTGACACACTTGTGATTTCATTTCAAGTTTTTATTTTTTAATGAAAAATTATAAATTCTTTCATGTTGGGGAGAGCAGAGTGTCCTGATTTACTCTCATTTCCCACCTCTTCTTTTCTGCTGCTGCTCCAAGTTCTTTTTCCTCTTTTTTCCCCTCTTGTGTTCAGCCATTACTGCACATAGAATATAACCAGACAGGGTGTGCATCATAGTGCACTGAGCATGCTTGACATGTAGTAGTGTACACAACACAACAACAGCAGTGAAGAAGCAAATAGGATGCACTAGATGTGTTGACAACAGAATGTTGTTTACATAGACAGTTTTATTCTTGAAATAATATTTTGGTATTGATCCACCCACCTTTACACAGCAGGGCCCAGTCCCCACTCCATGCTGGGTCCATACAGACACTGCTGCTCCAAAGAGTAATAACTTGGGTAGGAACCAGTGTGCTAAGTGCTACAGGCAGGGTATTGAAGTGAGAAAGTATTGAAAGACAGACTAACAGGTTGACAATTGACAATATAAATAAATAACATTTGTGTCAGCTTTATCATTTAAGGTCATTACAGTAAAAATGTATTATTCCATACTTTCTGACATCATTTTATGTCTATTGTTTATTAAAGTAATACAGTGGCATACAAAAGCTTGGGCACCCCTGGTCAGTTTATAATGTAATGAAGAAATGGCAGTTAACAGGAACTGTGAATGTCAAGTTGAGGTCTGGAAGACCAAGAAAACTTTCCTAGAGAGCTGCTCGTACGATTGCTAGAAAGGCAACTCAAAACCCCCGTTTGACTGCAAAAGACCTGCAGGAACATTAATCAGACTCTGGAGGGGTGGTGCACTGTACTACTGTCTAGTCAGACCAATATGACCTTCATGGAAGAGTCATCAGGAGAAAACCTTTCCTGTGTCCTGATGGAATTAAAATAGAACTTTTTGGACACAATACATGAAGGTATGTTTGGAGAAAAAAGGGTGCAGAATACCTGTCCAACTGTTTATTATGGAGGTGGATTGATCATGCTTTGGGCTTGTGTTGCAGCCAGTGGCACAGGGAACATTTCACAGGTAGAGGGAAGAATGGATTCAGTGAAATTCCAGCAAATTCTGGAACCAAACATCCCACCATCTGTAAAAGAAAAAAACGCTGAAGATGAAGAGAGGATGGCTTCTACAACAGAACAGTGATCCTAATCACACCTCAAATTCAATGATGGACTAGTTCAAGAGGTGCAAGCTGAAGGTTTTGCCATGGCCCTCACAGTCCCCCGACCTAAACATCATTGAAAATCTGTGGATAGACCTCAAAAGAGCAGTGCATGCAAGACGGCCCAAGAATGTCACAGAGCTAGAAGCCTTTTGCAGGAAGAATGGGTGAAAATCCCTCAACCATGAACTGACAGATTCTTAGCTTGTTACAAAAAGCATTTAGAAGTTGTGATACTTGACAAAGGGGACGTTACGAAGTACTGACCATGCAGGGTGCCCAAACTTTTGCTTAACACCCTTTTTCTTTTTTGTTATTTTGAAACTTTAAAAGAATGAAATAAAAAAAGTAATCTTTCTTAAAATATTGAAGATATTTGTCATCTTTAACTTAATGCCTTTTGGAAATCAGTTCATCTTCTGCTTTTCTATTCACAGTGACTGAAATTTTGATCATGAGTGCCAAAACTTTTGCATGTCACTGTATCTACACTGAATGTAATATTCACACCCAGGATTTATTTATGGCTGAAATGTTTCACCAAATATTCTAGATATCTTTTGCATACCCAAATACAGACTTGTCTGTACCCAAATACAGAAGGGCATATTTGAAATATTTGGAAACGCTGTTATCTCTGCTAGAATTTAAAATAAACTGCTGTGGGTTTAAACAATGCTTTTGCTGCACAGCACAAAGTTTGCCAGACTTCTGCTTGTTAAGGGGAAAAGGTCCCCTCACATATTTGCAGTTTGTGACTATAATTCCACTGGGGGAAAATACTAAGTCATAAATAACCGAGTCATTTCTAAATAAACTCTAACCCCACGTGCTCATGGCTAAACATTGTTTTTATTTGACTTTTATTTTCCATCTGATGACATTAGGTCATGTAAATCTAATCTAAGAGTCCATGTACTCTGTGAGTGGACCTGTAGGAAAGTAAACTAATCAGCTCTTATGCAGCAGGCCAGGCTGCTCTAATCCATCGCTGCTGCTGCTGCTGCTGCACCTCATTTCGTTTGGCCTATTGACCTACATTACTGCTCCCACTCATGACACAAACCTGCTCCTGCAAACTACTCCTACCAGGACTTAGACAACACATGATGTGACTGTGGTACATGATGTTCACATTATGTATGTGTGACCTTATCATGTGGTAATCAGAGGTCAGTGATTCCCAACCTTTTTCCAGTCCTTAAAATATCTTCTTATGGCCTCTTGTCTTGTGAGGTTATGGATCGAGTGTTATATGATTTGCAACCAATTCAATTCACAAGTGATATTCCTTCTCACATAATTTGATCTGAGGGCTTTAAATAGACTGGTACTGTAACTGTTCCTGCATTACATTTGTAAGTATTCTCAAGTGCTATTGCTATATTATCACAATGACCTCTGTATCTATTATGCTGGCTCGTAATGCTATATTATTACATAACATACATGTACCCCTGTACAGTACATATAGTCCATTTGAATAACAGCAGCGGTTGAATGTAACTAAGTACATTTACTAAAGTAAAACTTTGAGGTAGGCCTACTTGTACTTCAGTATTTCCATTTCATGCTACTTCATACTTCTACTCCATCTCAGAGGAGAATTTTACTTTTTATTGCAATACATGTTTTTATTTTCTTTATACATCTTTATACTTGTTTTTGCACCTAATGGTTCACTTACAGCATATATTAACATACTTTTTGGCTTTTCTTTGTAGTAATCTCATTTTGTGCTAGATATTACTTGTTTTAGAGCGTACATTTTTGGCAGTATTTTTGTTCTGTGTTGTCTGTAATCTCTTTTTCAAGAGTGTCTTGGCCTAGACACTCTTGAAAAAGAGATTTTTTTAATCTGCAGAGATTTTTCTGGTTCAATAAAGGTAAAACAACATAAATAAAATACACTGCTTGGTATTTTAATATATCTCAAAATGTATTACCCTGTACGCAGTTCTGTCAGATTTTCTTCCAGACTGTGGAACCATTGGCGAACATGTCTGTATGTTAGACATTGAACATTGTGGAAGGCTTTGTATTTTTCTTGTGTGTTATTTTTCTTTCTTATTTGTACTCTGCTGTCTTTTTACTGTGTTTTTTATTGTGATATGGATCCCCCTGGGTCTGAAATAAAGAATGAAATGAATTGAATTGTATTAGTTTAAGTGCAAGTTAAGTGCAAACACCTCTCGATTGTACTTAAGTACAGTTCTTGAGCAAATGTACTTAGTTCCTTTCCACCACTGCACTGTGGTACTAGTACTTTTACTCAAGTAAAAGATCAGAATACTTTGTCCACCATCCAAGGATAATCTATCTATCTATCTATCTATCTATCGATCTATCGAGCTATCCCATCCATGTAATGAGAGATTAATGTCGGTAGATGGCGCTTTATATTAGTAAATCAGCATTATAACCGGTCATGAACTCGCTTGACTTCCAACTTTTTATTATTTGATCACCCACTTTTTTTTTGGAATGATCAATAGATATTTTTAAAATAAAATATTATATGTATACACTAAATTCAAATAGGCTAGTTATGTTAATAATTTAAAAAAATTTAATAGCTGGAATGCATGAATGGTGTTAAGGGACTGAGTGGCTCATGTACAGGCTTTAATGTTTGTCTAGCTCATGTTTTATATGGCGATATAAATTAGTTTTTTTTTTTTTTTTTACATCAGTCTGTAAACT